ATCATCTCCTGCATCCTATAGAATAATAACAACAGTCAGAGAGTGAATAGAATAATAACAGGATAAGCACTTATTGAACAAAGAACAAAGCATAAATCTTAACAGGACTAGGCTTCTTATTCTTGTTGGTTTTCTTGTAGCCAGTTTCAGCTAACGTTTTGTGCCTTGAACCCTTAGGCCTGCCCCTTTTCTGTTTCTTAATTATAGGGTCTTTGAGAACTGGATCCATGGCAGCTGGACAGGGGTCTCCGGGCTCTGCAGGAGCACTAGGAGCAGGATTCCTTACTGAGGAAATCGTTCTGTCTTAACCTGCTGATGATAGTGTACCAACTACAAGAACATTCTCCTGACTCTTCTTGTCCATACGGTCATTAACAGCTAATTGAAGCTTCGACAGTGTTTCCATTACCATATGGACCGTTTGATCATCCACCATGACAGCGGTTTCACATAAGGGCTCGAATTTTCCCATCATTTTGTTGAATCTCTTCACAGTGACCGTGTCGCCCGGATCATGGTAGGCCACCTTCACCCTAGTGTGCTTCCGGGGTATGTCCTTCCGCCAACGGGCTACAATGTACTTCTCTGGCAGATCTTCAACCAAGTTTTCATCGAGAATCCTAATACAGTGTTTGCAAAGTATGCCACTTGTCTCAAACTTCCTACAGTCACACTGCACCTCCTTTGTCATTGGAAAGAAAGTAACATTGTAGGTTCTTTGGCTATCTGTAATGACATCCTCACTACCACCGGGAGGTACTATCCATACACGATCGACCACCGAATACTGAATAAGGTTTTCAGACAAAACCTTCTCTCCTCGGACGTTGCAATACATCATTCTCGTACACTCCTTTTGAACTTCTTGAAACTTATTGTCCGTGTATAACTTTTGAAATATTTTTTCCACTTTGAAGCCACTAACCAACCTCCTAAGGTACTTCGAGCAACGCTCATTTGCACTCACTTCATCACGAACGCGTTGATCCAAGGCCTTGCAATACTTTTGAGGAAACTCATGTAGTTTGGTTTTGTGGTTAACATAGCCATCGAAAAACTGATTGATGCTCTCCACCCTTTGTGTGGTCTTCATACCAGCCCAAAAAAACTCTTTCATGTAAGCAGGCACCCACATACGACTCTCTTTGTGTAGGCTCTGTAGCCATTCATTGTCCTCCAACTTATACTCGGCTATAAACTCTGCCCATCGAGTTTGGAACTCCTCGGGGTCAAAGCTCTCATACACTAGCTCTTTGAGGGGGTTGATGAACTCTTGGTAACTAGAAAAAAATGAGCAACGTTAGAGTACATAACAGCAGAACAACAGTTTAACTCGCAATTTTACAATCTGTTGAAAAGTCAATAGCCTGTCTATCAGCTTTTACTTGAATTTCAAGGCTTTATTTTAATAAGTCATTCAGTTTATTCTTCCTATGAAACTGATCTCAAGACCTTGAGATTTGTGCAGATTTGTATAACATAGAAAATTTAAATTTATAAGGCAGGAAGAATATCACAACATACCGTGCACACTTGCCAAGTTTCTCAAGGATCTTGCTCATGATATGCCATATGCACCAATGATGAACCGTGTTTGGCATGACTTCAGCTAGGGGCCTCCGCATAGCTGCCGCTTGGTCGGTCAAAATGGCTTTAGGAGCTCGGTTGTTCATGCAAGATAGCCACTATCGAAATATCCACGCAAACGTATCGCAGTCTTCATGTGAAACAAGAGCACATCCCAACAACAACGATTGCCCATGGTGGTTCACACCAACAAAGTTCGCAAATGGGAGCTCGTACTCATTTGCTAGATATGTCGCGTCGAAGCAAACCGCATCACCAAAGTCCTCATAAGCTACCCTACTTCTTGCATCCACCCACAACACATCCTTAAGCCTCCCTTCTTCATCCAAACGTTGAGCATGGAAAAAATTTTGGTTGCCGGATTGCATATTTTCAAAGTACTCCATCATTGCCACCGAGTCCCCTCCAACCATCTTCAACCGCCTAGCCTTGTACACCTCATGTTGTAAATCTTTGACGGTGAGAGCCATGTTATCGTTTCGTTCGGTCGCCATGCAACCGTGTATTTGAGAAATTGGTAAACCTTGCTCATAGAAATCCATCAGCTTCTTCTTCACTTTTGAGGTCATTTGCTTCATGCGGTACTCCTTAACAAGCTTAAAATTTGCTGGATCAATCTTGTGATTATGCTTTAAGTGCACGATTCAACACCCACATGCCATCTTCATTCACTTTAGCATAAACACGGGCCTCACATTCACACTTTTTCGAAGTCCTCTTCCTACGACTTAACTCATCCTCACATACCACCCCATCAACTAAACCACCTGAACCTCCACCACCCATTGCCTTTGCCCTCTTCTTCGCTTCCCTCCTAGCCCTCATGTCGGGTTTACCCCAACACTCACACTTCCACGTGCTTGCAATTCTTTGTTTGTCCGCCGTCTTAGAATTTACGCCTTGAACCCTTGACACTCCAAACCCCATCTGCTCAGCATACTCCTTATAGTAGGATTCAACCTCTTGCCAAGACCGGAAAAACCATTCCTTCCTTAGGCTCCTCAACAATTACACGCATTTCGTTGCTACCAACCACAGTGTGAGTCGTATGAATTGTTTTCACGGGGGATAAATACCTAACATTCACATTCATGTCAACTACACCAACACCATCATCACAACTATCTGCAACAACTATGTCTTCTATACCCTCCATATCATTGCCCTCCTCCTCCTCCATATCAACGTTACTCCTAAACTTATCGACACTGCCACAATCACCAACACCAACCTCACTGTCCCTAATAACGCCTTTAGTTTCCATTTCCATAATATCATTCATAATACCAGTCTTCTCCATAAAAAACAATCCACCCTTCAAATACAGAACACGAGCCTAATTACAATACAAATTAATAGTAGAACACCAACATAATTACAATACAAATAAAACCAGTTAATCAACCAACACGTTTTCACAGCACAAATTCAACCCAACACAGAAATACAACCAACCAACACAAATCAACCAACCAATTGAACAACCACCAAAGTAATACAACCAATCTTCAAAAATTAACAGAGGGATTTGTTTCAAAGCATACGAAGATAACACATTATCAAAAAGTATAAATTGCATTTTCAACAAAATCATTCGGCCATTTTCCAGCAACCTCAAACCACCCATTTTAACAGAGGCATTAACCTATAATACCATTACTTTCAAAATTATTCTGATTTCGGTTGCAATTCTCAATTTATTGAACTCACGACTGGAAGAAGCGACTGGACGAAGAAAGAGAACAGAAAACTACCTGCTAATTCAACTAGGTCTGGAAGGTTCAACTCGAAGATGTGTGAAGATGGTGTGCACATTGAAAGGGAGTGGGGGAAGCGACTGGACGAAGAAGAAAGAGAACAGAAAACTACCTGCAAAGATGTGTGGGGGAAGTGACTGAAACGATTGACGTTGAATAGTTTCCCGTTTCCCGCCTAAGCTCCGTTAACAGATAAATTAAACAGATTGAACAGGGATGTCCCCACTCAGCACCACTCAGCATCCCAGTCAGCAGCCAGTATGTGAAAAACATCAATTTATTTACAGAAATGCCATTGTGAAAAACGCTTATGTTTCTCACAATGAGAAACAGAGATTTTCCCATTATATAGCTTTAAAGATCAAAAATAAAAATAAAAACTAAAAACCACATTGATGTCAATGAACCCTTAGTTTATTGTTGTAATGTGTAAACCTTATTTCAATTTATGCAACTTAAGCCCATGCCAAAAAAAATATTGATCATTTTCTCACAAAAAGATTTCAAATAGGAAAAACAATACTCGTAGAAAATGGAGAGGGTAGTAGAATTGCTGAAAAAACATAAGCCCTTCTTATTCCCTATCATCATTAACAACCTAAATATGAAGTATAAAAGATATAAACTCCCCCCAAAATATATAGAAATTCTAATAGACGGAGACAAAGGAGGATTTCTCTGCCTCTAATAATTTAAGTCATAAGTGGCTATAATAACACGGAGTTGGTATTAAATTGTGTTTAGATGGTATCTTCTAAATACTACCAAGAAATTATATCGATACCAACAAAACATTTTTGCATTCGTTGGTACTACTGAATTAGTATTTTGATATCGTGATAATACCATCTAAAGTATAATTTAATACCAATGTGTGGTATTAGAGTTATTCATAACTCAAATTATTATAGGTAGAGAATTTCTTGGAGACAAAGATGGAGAAAACAAAAAAAAAAGTAGAAAACAACCCTAATAGTAGTAACTGAAAAGTAAAAGCTTGAACTTTCAACGAACTAAGTTGATTGCCAAAACAGCCAATAAAGAAGCAGAGATGGACAGATGGTTGCCAACTTTCCATCTTCCTCAACAAAGACGATTTCTGCTAAGATATTAGGTTGATTATACTGCCAAAGCAGGAAAATCACTGGCAACTCAGTTGAAAGATCAAGTTAATAATCCGGCAAATTCGGAAGATCAGCTAATTGCAAACTCGGCTAAAATTGCAAGGTTGCCAACGTTGAACGAAATCTCAAAATGAGTAGGATTTGAACTTAATTTTTAGTGACACATGTTGTACAGACCCTGAAACATATTCACCCTATTGAATCCTTGCATAGGTTAATATAGCCCGCATTAGCCAGCAAGGTTCCTTAAGGAGAAAGGTAAGAGAATTTTCATGCCCAAACATGTCCCTAGCAAGGATTAATATACAGACTCAAGGTTGACAGATATAATTTGTACTCGTACTCATTTTTTTACGGAATAATAAATTAAATCTTCTTCATTTATGTATGTCAATGCACAAATTTTATTATACCATTAATATATTTAATTATTATCTTATACAAGTAGTAAAACATTAATATTTTAAAAGTTTATTATATTTTCACTTGACTATATTTTAAGGGAAGCAGTGATTATACACCCGATAATTCGTAATCTTTCGAAGGATCAAAATACCCCGTACCAGAAACCAACCTTAGCCTTTGGATAGATTAAATTCCCAAATTGATTAATTAATTCCCTACTTATGTTTGTTTTTTTTTTTTTCTTTTTTTTAAGGGAAATTCCCTACTTATGTTGAATTTTATATATAACCAAATATTAAATTCCCATATTTATTTCCATAATTAATAAAGGTCAAACTAAGACATTCATAATTAAATAAATTCAACAAAAGAGAGCAGATAGTGACATGACTATTATTAATTGGATATTGCCTGCCTCACTAATCGCAATAATAGCTACAAAAAGTTCTTATAAATAGAGACTCTCGAGACTTCAAACATGCAAGCAACGATAATATTTCTAGCTCAAAAACTATAATACACACATATTACAATATCTTACTAGTACACACATTTTAGTTGCAATACTTACATTATGGAAATTGGTACAAACTTTGAGCGTAACGCCGATCTAAAGGCCTTTGATGAGTCCAAAATGGGAGTGAAAGGCCTTATTGATGCGGGTGTAACACAATTACCCCGAATTTTTGTCAATGACCTACCATCCCCAGACTCAAAAAAGGTCAATGACGGACTAAAGCTAAACATCCCGGTGATAGATTTCACCGGGTTAGAGGATGGAGGTCCTGTGAGACGAAAGGAGATTATAAAGGAGTTATCCGATGTAACTGAAAAGTGGGGGTTCTTCCAGGTTGTGAACCATGGGATCCCCCAAGACATGTTGGAAGAGATGCTCAAAGGTGCTAGGAGGTTTCATGACTTGGATGCCGAGGCCAAAAGAGAGTACTATGTTCGTGGAATCGACACGAAAAAGAAATTCGTGTTCACGTCCAATTTTTATCTCTACACCGGTCATGTCACAAATTGGAGGGATACCACCGTTACCACCATGAACCCTATGCCTGATCCTGAAGAAATTTCCGAGGCATGCAGGTATATATACATAATAATCTTTATGTTTGTCTTGAATATAATCTTCTAGGTGTATTAGTTTTCTTTAACAAATTTGTTATTAATCATAAAAAAGTCTCCTTTCATCAATAATTAATCTTCTAGGTGTATTAATTTTCTTTAACAAGTTCTAGTTAGATGTAATATATTAATGCATGTAAAGTTGTACAAATTTGTAAAATCCATAACCCATAGTTTTTCTAAAAATAAATTCTACAGTAGTCATCTTTAAAATGACTAGCACTATACTTAATTTTTATTGGCTGATTTTTAATTTAATTTTTTTATCTATCAAACTTATTAAAAATGATTTTTAATTCCTACTTCAAAAATTTCTAGCTAGATGTATGCATATAATAAATTATAAATATAATGCATGTAAAGGAGTAAAAATTTGTAAAACTCATAACCATATTTTTTTTCTTTTTAAAAATTCTAATGATTTCAAACGCATAGAAACATTAATTATGTACCATATGATAAAATCACTAACGTATAATTTTTTTCAACTAAATCACTAACGTATACAAGTAATTTTTTTCAACTTACATAGAGATATAATGATGGAGTATGGCAAAAGTGTGAGGAAGCTAGGACTAACATTCATGGAGCTATTATCCGAGGCCATGGGTCTAAACCCGAACCATTTGGAAGACATGGATTCTGCTGAAGATTATTTGCTCTTAACCCATTATTATCCTCCATGCCCACAACCCGAATCGGCTATAGGCATCAACAAGCACGCTGATAACGACATCCTTACGGTGCTCCTACAAGACGATATTGGTGGACTTCAGGTTCTTCATGATGATATTTGGTATGATGTTCCTCATATTCCTGGTGCCTTGGTCATCAACACTGGAGATCTTCTACAAGTAAGCTAATTTAACTTTTTAATTGTTTTTGGATTAAGGGTATTAATTAGTGTTTGACAAAGTTGGGTGAGAACAAGCTAACCTTAAGAGTTTAGGGTATTGTATTGAAAATAATAAGTTAAATTTATTGAAGGTGGAGTTTGCCCATATTAGGAAGGTTCTTAAATAATTAATTAATCATATTTTCCATATAATTATCTTTATATTATAAGTATTATTCCCAAAAATAATTTATTTTATAGCATCTATGGAGTAGCTACTAACAACTAATAATTGAAATCACCAACAACTAATAATGTTCCCGATATAACGCCTTAATTTGTGTTTGGGTCTGAATGGTTTATGATTTTACACATGGTAGCTGGGTATATACCTGCACAGTCAATGTAGATTAACTGTGATGGAGTTTTGTCCGAGGAAAACTACTCCGATGGTAAATCAATATTGGTTCAATATGGTTAAGAAATAATTTGAGAGTGTTTAATTTAGATTTAGAATAATGTATCTTAGAAGTGAAATATGTTTGGGTATTTATAGAATCCCCCAAATAAATGCCACGTGGGTGTCTAATCAAATGAACGATAAGTGTCCACGTGACCAAAAGTAAGTCTCCACGTTATATGATAATCAATTATATTACTCCGTAATAGCTAATATCTAGCTACTAACAACTAATAATTGATGAAATCATCAACATGGCAACATTTAATAATATGACATCAATAATGTTGAATACGACACATACAAGAAGCTGATATTCATGTTATCTGTCGCTTTGATTTTTCAACAAAATTCGCATTGTTATACGTGAGTATTTTTCTTGTTTCGAAACTAATCTATTTTTCAACAAAATCTCCAAAAATCCCTTTAATTCACCCTATACTAGGTTCACCTGAATGACGGCTGCATGCAAAAATTTCAATTTATTTACTTTCTCATCTTCAACTTTTTTTACTTTTCTCTTTGATATTATTGTCTCTTTTGTCACCTACTAGGGTTTTTCTTGTTTCGAAACTAATCTATTTTTCAACAAAATCTCCAAAAATCCCTTTAATTCACCCTATACTAGGTTCACCTGAATGACGGCTGCATGCAAAAATTTCAATTTATTTACTTTCTCATCTTCAACTTTTTTTACTTTTCTCTTTGATATTATTGTCTCTTTTGTCACCTACTAGGGTTACCTAATTCTAAAGACGAACATTTAAAGTATCTAACTTTAAATCACTTTCCTAGTTAAAAATCTAAGTTTAGAAAAACTATATAATACAAAGTATAAAGTTTATTAGATAATTATATAAATAAAATAAATTACTCCGTATTAATTATATATTGATATGATTTTATATTATATATGTGCAGTTGATCAGCAATGACAAGTACAAGAGCGTAATCCATAGGGTGCAATCAAAGAAAATTGGTCCTAGAATTTCAGTGGCATGTTTCTTTAGGCCTAGCTTGAAGAACCCTAGATTACTTGCACCAATTAAGGAATTATTATCGGACGAAAATCCACCAATTTATAGAGAAACAACTGCTGGTGAATATCTTGCTCATTATTATAAAACTGGCCAAGATTATGGTGTTCAACCAGCACTTGAAAATTTCAAGCTCAACAAATAAATTTATATATATAATTAAATATGTATGCATGAAATAATCCAAACTTCGAAATGTAAACTATATTTATACACGTATAATTTATTCATCTTATCATTTACTTCGTATATTGCCAATGCTAGTTTGTATCGATCTAGTAGTCACTACTAGATCATTGCTCATAACTTGTATGTCATTTTTATTATATTTCAATTTCGATCAAATAAGTGTTGTAAAAGCACGTTTCATACGGAGTATGTCAATAAATAATAAAATAATTGTTATTGACTTTATATTATTATTGTTTGTATTTTTTATTTATTTTATTTTTTAAAGATTTTCTTAGTTAAATTTTGTTGTTCTATTTTGCAACCATTCCACTAATTTGAGCTACCTACATTATTTAATTATCACAACAATTTTGACCACAATTTATTTTTGCCACCACGTAGGAAACAAATGTTTTTCTGTAAAATATTGTTTGATAGATAAGTTTAAATGTATAGATTTTTTAGTTATATAATAAAATAAATCATTGGTCAATTTTAATAAACAAGTTGTAATTATTAATGTACAAAAAAGAAGTGATTAGTTTTTTTTTCTTTTTTTTTTTTTTTTTTGAAAGAAAGAAAGAAGTGATTAGTTTTTGATGTACTACTATAATTTATGTGACTAGAATTAGTCTACAACGATTTAATAAGTTTAGGTATTATGATAATTAAAACTAAATTTGGATAAAGGCGGTTTATTTAAAATTATTATAAATTTCCTGTCAATAATTTCATGATTAGATCATATTGAGCTGGCTGCTGCATTGTTATTATTTATTCATGTATTGAATAACATCTATCCAAAGATGCATGACTTTGTTGAATGATTTTGTAAGCGGCTATATATGATTAGAAGTTGAAGAACACCATTGCATTATAATCTACTTCTATCACTAAAACAAGTCATGCTAATATCTTTGATGAACACATGTCAACTTCTCATAAAAAATTCTCCCACCTAAACTATTTATGACATCATCCTTTTTTCTCTATTTTTTTCTTCCAAAACTAAATAAAAATACTTAAAAAAAATTATGAAAACATATGTATATTTATTTTTTGAATAAAAAATAATGACAACTTTTTTAAACAAATAATAAGGGCAAGGCTATTTAAACCTTGCAACACACTAAGACTTAGTTTGTAAATTAAACAATACTTGATTATATAATAGATACATTCGGTGTATCGGGATGTTTGTTTAGGGAGACGAGAATTAAAGAAAGAAATACAAGTATATAGGGATAGGACATTGGATCTTTTATCAAAATGGCTAATTCAATAAAAGTATTTACCAAAACGGCTATTTATAAATTTTAATTCCAAAACTAGCTCAACTATTAACTTAGAAAGAAATTATTTACTTATTTTTTTTCCTTTGAACTGATTTGGTTCTTTTTTTAATTGGAAAATCTAGAAGCCATATACGGATATATGTAAACGGTCGCTCATAAGAAACCCTAATTTCAAGATCACAAAAAAGAAAAAAGAAATCTAACCTTTTGTCTAGATCGTATCATAAAAAATTGGAAATTCAAGTAGTATTGCTCTATTTGCACAATCGCAAATTTATACGACGATAAGGGATTTTAAGATATTGTTCATCTTTTTTATGTTTGCTAATTGTATGATACCTCCTAATATCGGCTAATTTTGAATATTGTTGAGTTTAATGTGTATAATAAAAACAAACTTGCATATATTTATGTGATATATAATGGCAAACAATGAATATGTTTGAAGAACAATCAGCTTCTTGATTGCTTGATCTGGTTAGTCAATCTTGCTCCTCTAATTTGAATATGGCTCATCTTATCTCGGATGCAGTGGCTAATGAGGTTCTTAATTCCTATGCTCAATAATGAGATAACAAATAATATATTTTGTTGTAAGTGCGCACAAGATAATTTTCCAACCCCAAAAAAAAAAAAAATTTAAAAAATTATAGATAAAAAAATAATATAAAAAATAATAATAATAAAAAATATATAAAACAAAACCCAAAAAACTGAACCTAATAGGTTCAAAGGAAAACAAAGAAAATTAATAATTTCCTTCCAAGTCACCAACTTAACTAGTTTTGGAATTAAAACTTTTGTTAAATTAATCATTTTGGTAAAAAATCCTAGGACATTAGAGGGTGAAATTCTCTGATATTTTGGCCCAAATTAGGGAAAACGGCATGTATATCCGCAATCCTTGTCCTCCTAAACAAATTCCCTATAAGCCTATATATATGTGTCTTAACTCTTAAGGTACAACTAATAATAAAATGACAATTTGTTTTTTTATGACTTTGATCAATTCACCTATTTTTTGTACTGATTCACGGTATTAATTATTGTGTAACTTATTGGTTATACCTGATAAAAATAAACTGATTTTTAATGATGTCAAATCAATATAGTCATGTACAACTGTCCAAGCAAGGTACCAGAAGAAAGAGCCTTATGTATGCTCAATTTCCATAAAGAGTAATTATATTATAATATAACATACACACCTACTTTTTTTGACCTAAAATAAATAACAAGGAAGGTTCAAATTATCACGTTGATCAACAAAATTCTTTTATTAACTGATAAAATTGTAAATAAATCAGAAAATATGCAGTCAGCATATTCGTAATTATATAAACAACTTTATTTGGGCCAAAGTTTTAAAAATAAATTGATGATTTATTTAAGGTGATAAACTTGTATTTTTTCATAAATAACTACATATATACTCATAGTATTTGAAAACACAAATGAGCAAAAATGACAAATTTTTCCCTGAATTGGCTAATTTATATACCTATTTTAAAGTACACTTCTCTTAAATAATTTAAAAAATCAAACAGTATTCGAGAAAATAAACGTCCCTTGTTAATTGACTTCCCACCCATGTATAAAAAGTAATCTGTTAATGTATTAGGCTTTGTTCACTTCACATTAAAATAATAATATTCAGTCAAAATAATTTCAGTTCAGTAAAAATAAGTTCAATTCAGTAAAAATAATTTCAATTCAATAAAAATAAGTCAAGTTCAGTAAAAATAATTTCAGTTTAGTAAAAATCAGTAACTTTAAAGAAGTAATAAAATCCCTTTTCACTTCAACTTAAAAAAATAATATTAAGTTAAAATTTCAATTCAGTAAAATTAATTTCAGTTCAGTAAAAATAAGTTCAGTTCAATAAAAATCATTTCAGTTCAGTAAAAATACGTTCAATTCAGTAAAATTTAGTAACTATAAAGAAGAAATATAAGGCCCTATTCACTTCACCTTAAAAAAAATATTAAGTAAAAATAATTTCAGTTTAGTAAAAATAATTTCAGTTTAGTAAAAATAATTTCAGTTCAGTAAAAATAAGTTCAATTCAGTAAAAATAAGTTCAGTTCAATAAAATTCAGTAACTTTAAAGAAGAATTATAATAGAAAATTAGTAAAGATAATTTCAGTTTAGCAAAAAATAATTTCAGTTCAGTAAAAATAATTTCAATATAGTAAAAATAATTTAAGTTCAACAAAAATAGTTTAAGTTCAGTAAAAATAATTTAAGTTCAGCAAAAATAATTTCAGGTCAGCAAAAATAATTTCAGTTCAGTAAATATAAAGTGAAGTGAACGGGGCCTAATAGAAAATCAGTAAAAATAATTTAACTTCAGCAAAAATAACTTCAGTTCAGTAAAAATATTTTCAATTCAGCAAAAATAAGGTGAAGTGAACGAGGCCTAATACAAAATTAGTAAAAATAATTTCAGTTCAGCAAAAATAATTCAGTTCGATCAGTAAAATTAATTTCAGTTTAGTAAAAATAATTTAAGTTCAGCAAAAATAATTTCATTTCAGGAAAAATAATTTCAGCTCAACAAAAATAAGATGAAGTGAGGCTCCGTTCACTTCACCTTATTTTTGATGAACTTAAATTATTTTTATTGAACTGAAATTATTTTTGCTGAATTTAAATTATTTTTACTGAACTGAAATTAATTTTACTGAACTGAAATTATTTTTACTGATTCTCTTTTATATTTCTTCTTTAAAGTTACTGGTTTTTACTGAACTGAAATTATTTTTGCTGAATTGAACTTATTTTTACTGAACTAAAATTATTTTTACTGAATATTATTATTTTAAGGTGAAGTGAATAGGGCCTGAATGGGGCTTTAGTCCATTTAGGCCTTGTTCACTTCACCTTAAAAAAATAATATTCAGTAAAAATAATTTCAATTCAGTAAAAATAATTTCAGTTCAGCAAAAATAATTTCTGTTCACTAAAAATAAGTTCACTTCATTAAAAATAATTTCAGTTCAGTAAAAATCAGTAACTTTAAAGAAGAAATATAACAGAGAATCAGTAAAATTAATTTCAGTTCAACAAAAATAATTTCAATTCAGTAAAAATAATTTAAGTTCAGCAAAAATAATTTCAATTCATTAAAAATAATTTCAATTTAGCAAAAGTAAGAGAGTGAACAAAGCCTTATTCAATATAGGTTAACTCTTTAGTCTTTTAACACTTTAAAGGTTTAACTTATATATGACAAAGTCTATATATACGAAGTATGCAATATAAGTACTTAACACATTTGTCAAATTCTCAAGTCCAAATTCATGTGCGATGGCCGACCAAGTTATCTCCACAACCACCGGATTATTCAATATATACCTTGACATATATATATTTATATATATATTATATAAGTTTACCTACTCTTCTAATCTATAATAGTACATGCTATTTTGGATGTTTTCCCCAAATTATTATAAACTAAGGCAGAGTTGACCAATACTCTCCAAGAAAAATCCATGCACTCTTCAATTTCCTTAATTTTCAGATTTATAATTAGTATTACTTTGAAATTTTCTTTGTGGAGGCGAATGTAACAAGCGTGGTACATTCGGATTTTTGATAAAAGACGGAATGAATATATAGTTGTTTTGTAAAGAATATATAGCTGTTTTACAAAGAACATCCAGCTTTATGTTCTTTTTGTATATCGGAAAAAGATCTATAATATTAATAAAGAACATGATAATATTATGTAATGAACATTATTTATATTCACCCACCATAATCTAAAGACAAAATTTAAAGAACATATCACAATAAACAATGAATATTATGTCACAAATAAAAATACATTACACTGACAATCAAATAACACGGAGATAAAGAATATTACTCCGTATTTAACAGTGTGTTCTTTATAAAATAGTGTCATGTTCTTTGTTATTAATAG